AACAGCAGTTCATTAACGGGCGAAAGCTGCAGGAGGATTTATTGGTCATTGTGGACCGAAGAGAACTTTGTAATGTCAATCATCCTGCCTATTACGCTGCCACATATCTCTATCTGCAGATAGACAGCTTGCTTAATCACAACCAACATTCTGAGTCACGCCTGGCTAAAAACGTGGTATAAAAAGCTAGGAGGGTACCAGAAGCGGGATGCCATGGGAAACGCGGGGACAGGACTTCTCCGTGATGAGGTTGCTCCGGTGAGGCACCCGCCCGTTGCCCTGCCCGCCCGCCCGGTGCCGCCGCTTCCCGCGCCCGACTCCGGGCGGCCGGGCCGGGGGAGCCGCGGGGTGGGAGGAGCCGCGGGGCGCAGGAGCCGGGCGGGCCGGGGGGGCGGCCGGGGGCGGGCTGGGCGCTGGCAGGGACCGCCGAGCCCGCCGTCCCGGCCGCCGCTTCCCTGCTCACCGCACACACCTCATTACCGAGTCAGCAGAGCCGCTTTAATGGACTTGTGTGGAAAGGCGGTTTTCCGCTCTATAAACGTTGGGTCCCAGCGTTTACTAATTAACTCCTTCTATTTAGAAACACCTGCATTTTAAGAAAGCTTTCTGAACGCTAGCACTGACTGAATTTCCAGCCTGCTGCAGTCTGAGCTTGTCATGCCTAACCCATGTATCATAACAGCATTGGAGAGCATGTGAACCAAGAGATAAAATCCTCGTACAATACTCCTCGCACAACGTTCCTCAGACTTTCCTACCAAGGCAGAAAACAAATCTATGATGCTGTTGAATAATCTCCCAATAATTGTAGTAATTAAAATCATCATCCAGTCTGCAGTCACCTTCCTTCCTTTGACACTAGTCTTCCCTTGAATTGTTAACGTGTCTCCGGCTGAGATAAACAGAACAAGGGAGCTTTAAAATACACGGTCCAAATAAATTTAGCGGAAGAGAATTAGTTCCACAGACACGCTTTTAACTGCGTTCAGTAGGCGACAGGATTTCTAAAACTATCATGCAGATTTCTCAAATGCAGGGTAATATGGGTCTCCCTGCTACTCTTAAATAGTGTCACCTTAAAGATCGAGGAGAAGATGAAAGCCCAGCCTGGTGCTCCACCTCGGGGCTCGGTGTGCTGGGGGCAGGAGGAGAGGGGAGTGCACCATGTAACAAACATCTTATGAAAGATCAAGCAGAAATTGTGGGAGAGTGCCATAATTTTAATTTAATTTCCATGATCAATTTGATCCCAGTGCTCATTCTCTTTTTATGAACTATAAAAGATTTCCTTCTAATCAAAAGCTGCACTTCATCTTTACCCACAAATGAAAAACTCTATAGCAGAAAGAATTCAGTGGACTCAACAGGCACCACGGTCTGTATTTTAACACTATGTCTATATATCCTTCCCCCTTTTAATGTCTAGTCTTGGGCAGAATATAGTGGGGAAGCCTTAACTGAAGTTATTAATCTATCACCAGGTACCCCTCTGCATTGCTCTGATAATCAATGGTGGTTTCTAGATCATGTAAATGAAGAGTGTAATTGGGGGAGGGAGGGGGTTTCGCACGGAAGTCCTGTTGACAAAAAAAAAAAAAAAAATCTGGCAGGACGCAATTATTTATCTCGGCAATGAGCAGTTTGCGTGTTTCCTGCCCACGTCCCTTCTGTTTGACAGAAAATGAGGCTGCTTTCTTGAACTTGGAAGGGTTTGCCCCTTTCCCACCCGTAACATCCATGAGCAAAACTCCATGCCCGTCCTAGGATTCAGGAAAAATTGCACGGCAACCTTACATTTAACTGCTATTAAATCGATTTATTTGGAAAATATTTGGCAGCTCTTTTCCCAAGCTCTGTTTGAACAGAAGAGTCATTTCATCTGATGTTCTTGAATATAAACCCAGGAGCTTCCCAGCCATCTTTAATGAACGAATTGTTTCCCAGCTCTACCTCCTAAAGACAGCAACTTTAGTAGTTGCACAGATCAAAAGACACGCGTAGAGAGAAGATGGGAAACAATATTGTTCAAAGGAAGTGAACTGTTGCATTTAATTAGGCTATTCTTTATTAGTATTCATATTGAGATTTTTTCCTAAGATTTATGTTGATTTAACTGTAATGTATTTATGATGTAAATATATTCCGAGATGAAAACGTCACGGATCAATTGTAAAGGACCCGGATACATAATTTTAAAAAATCAGTTTCAGTTTATGTGAGGTTCTCACCCCACTTTCGCTTCTTAGTCAGATTTGTTTATGCAGAATCGACATTTAATAGTGCTAATTGCACTCCAGTTAAATTGCCCTGATTGCAGAAAGGGAAGCAATTTTCGTGCTCTCTGTCTGGGTTTGGAAGAAATTGTTTTATATTCACCTCTTTATAAAGAAGTGGAGATAAGGCACCGAGCCTTTGCACAAATTGCACTTATGGGCTGACTGGCAGCATTCAGGCTTTATAATAGAGCATTATTTGGCCGTTTTGAATAATGTAAAGCATTTGCTGAAAGCTATTCTCCTGAAAATTGCTTTAACTTTTAAAAGGGTGATGATTCACTCCAAACCAGGCCTTTGTTACATTGTCATTATCCCCCCAAATGTTTTAACAGTCAGCTCAACACTTTAGCATAACACATTGATCTTTGTTTAAAAACTCGATTTTTGGAGCATGAAAAAATCTGTCAGAAAATACTTGACCCCCTAAAGATTTTAGCAGCGTTACCCCTTCCGCCGCCATTCCCTCAGCCTTTCCACCGCCTGCCTCGTTCCTGCGGGTTTTAGTTACTTTTCCGACTACAAAGGGGCGAGGAGATGGATGTGCGGCAGGCAGAGCCGCCCGCCTGCCTTCAAGCACAGCAGAATCCCTACTTTGCTGTGGGAGCGCAAGCGGGCAGCGGATGCCTTTACTCGCTGATGTAGAGGCAACATTTTAAAACGTCACTCTCTCGATCTGCCTTCCAGACGTATTTTATTGATGACTTTCCCCAAGATAAGAGGAAAGACCCTCTCCCCCCGCCGCCCTGGGGTTGGCCAGAAGCGCCGCGCTGCTACTTGACGACCACCACGGATGGCTCCTGGGAAGGGAAGGAGCGGGTTTCCCCCCGGAGGGAAAGAGGAAGGAAAGAAGGAAGGAGGGAAGGAGGGAAGGAAGGAGTCACCTGTTGGGCGATGGCTCCCGGCTGCCCCTGTCGGACTCCTCGCCTCGCCCGCGGGGGTTATGTCGCTCCCCCCGCCACCGCCTTTCCGCCGCCTCCACCCGCCGAGCGCTACAGCCCCCCTGGGTCCCAGCCGCCGCTCAGGATCTGCTCGGGGCAGACCTTTCGGAGGAAGGGTTTACATGCACTCCCCGGACCCCTGCGCCGGCTGCGAGTCAATGTGGAAAGAATTAAGCGCAGAACAGTATTTCCTCCTACTGCCCCGACTCTGTTTAATACGTGGCGACAAAAAGGCGAGCGCCCTTTGAAAATAGCCTTAGACGTTTAAATAAAAGATAATCTCCAGGGGCATCCTTCCCTAGCGTGGCAGGCGTCCTGCAGATTGCATAACACAATGTAAAATAAATTGCAATGCCCGCCTTATTTAAGCACACACATACAAAAAAATATAAAAACACGTAAAGAAAAGCGAAATCCCCTCAATTTCCCGGTTTCTCCATTTTGTTCCACAGCGATGCCTATTTTGCATCTGCTAGGTGGTTTTATACTGGATGGCTGAGGCGGCACCGAGAAGAAGGAAATATTGACTCAAATGCAGAGCAAGGGCCCGGCGTTGCTTGAACGCACTCATCATATTTCTGGTTCAGAATTGTACCCAGCTGCACTGGGGACGGCAGAAAGGAGAGGGAAAAACTCCTATTCCCATCCTCACAGAGACGACTGCAATGATGAAAAGTTGCACGCCTATTGATCTTCCGCAGGCACAGTACGGGCAGGTTCTAGCCAATTACTTAAGAAGCCTCAAATAATTACAAATCAAAGGGACTAGCTTCCAAGACATTGAGGAGCCGAGGTTTAGACTTACATTTCGCACATGCAGAGAGCAGGTAAAGTCTCTGTCGCTCACTGGGCGTGTGGAGTGTGCACAGTGCAGAGGCCACAGGCAAGTGCTGGGGAGGCTGATTCCAGCAGCGCCCTAGCACTGCTAGGAGGGAGCAAGCCTTCTCCCATTAGCAGCACTGCTTCCACGGGAGTATATGAGGCTTGAAAAACGTGCTGCCGGCTGCGAATTTGACTTTCAAAGTGTTTTGCTGGCGATTACTCTGTAAAATAATATCCTCTCTCTTAAGCGACAGGATGTCATATGCCCCTTGTCCTCTCTCCCGCCCCAATACAAGAGCAAAGGGATGCCTGTCGGTCCCTGCCTTTGGATTTTTTTGGCGCTTTATATAACTAAAAAGCCTTCTCGGTTCCTTTTGCAAAGAAAGTAAGAAATACGTTGTGGCGGAAATCACTTCTAGCATTTAGCAAAGAAAAACCAAAAAATTAACGTGTTTTCACAAAATGTCATTAGGCGCTGTGAGGCTATTCATATCCAACACGGACAGCTCCCAAACGGCCTGAAAAAGGAGGCAGAGGGCCTGTTGAATAAAAGCGAGGCAGGTATGGTCTACTGGCCGCGAGGATCGCAGGTGACCGCACCGGCAGCGGGGGATATGACACCTCCCGCACAGTTTACAGGCGGCGGCGGAGCGGCGTCGGGCGTGACACCAGCCCTCCGCCGGCGCTGACCCCGCTCCCGACGGCTGCCCCCGCGGCTGTGCTGTCGTGCGTGCCCGGCGGGAGCGCGGCGCGGGGCGGCGGGAATTGCGGCGGCGGCCGGGCCGGGGAGTTTTCTCCCCACGCGCTCACTGGCACGCGCCCCGCGCCCCCCCGCGCCCGGCACCTCCGCGCAGCCTGATTGGCTGCCGGCCGCTCCGGGCCGGCTCCGCCCGGCGCCTCATTGGGCGAGCGCCGCCGCCAGCTGGTACTTCAAAGCGGGCGGCTGCCCGCACTTAGGCAGAGTTTGGCCCCGCCGCGCCGGAGTGTCCTTAGTGCCGCCGGGCAGCGCGGGGCGCACACCGAGCGCCGTCCCCTCCGCGCCCACCGCCCAGCCCACGGACCGTGCTATGGCTACGTCTATCCTCGGGTAAGTGCATCGCGCGCTTCCTCGCGGCTTCCCCCTGGAAAAACTGGCCTGTTGCCGCCGCCCGCGTTGTGGCTGCCCCTCCGCACAAACCGCGAGGATGGGAGGTGATCCCGGCCCGCCTCGGGGGATTTCACTGCGGGCAGCCCATCGGGTCGTTACCAAAGAGTTTAGTCTGAAAACTCGCTGGGCCGGAGAGAAGCCGTGCTGCTTCTGCTTTCTTTTGTTTTGGTTTGCTTTTTTTGTTTCTTGGTTTGTTGTTTTGTTTTGTTTTTTTTTTTTTTATAACTCGAACTACGGTTGATTTCCAAAGATTTTCGCCAGCCCGGCGTTGCGCGTGGCGACGGTCAGAAGGCTCCGCACACCGCTCGCCTTGCTGCCATCTCGTTTTTCCGTCTCTCCTGTACGATTGCTCGAGGAGACGCCGCATTTCGTTCCCACGGGATTTTTGGTTTAACGGTAGTACGCTCGAACAGCCCTCTCGGAACACGCGTGTCGCTCGTGCCCGTCGGGATCCGCTTCCGATGTAAAAACCCCTCGGGCGCCGAGACCGGTCCCCGGCTGAAAACGAGTTGTGCCGAGCGGGGCAGGGCTGAGCCTTCCTCCAAAATAAGAGAAAACTTTTCCGCGGTACCGCTCTTTGCGCCGTGGTTCTACCCGCGCTGCCGCGTCCCCGCGGGAGCCTGGCGAGGCAGCAGGGGTTAGGCTGACGGGCCGGCTTTGTCTCTCCCGCAGGAAGAGCCGAGATTTGGAACGACTCCCCTGGCCATGCTGGCCGCCACCTGCAACAAGATCGGCAACACCAGTCCCCTGACCACCCTGCCCGAGTCCAGCGCTTTCGCCAAAGGGGGCTTCCACCCCTGGAAACGCTCCACCTCCAGCTGCAACCTCGGCTCCAGCCTCTCGGGCTTCACGGTGGCCACGAGCAGGGGCTCCAATGGACTGGCCAGCAGCACGGGCACCGCCAACAGCGCCTTCTGCCTGGCTTCCACCTCGCCCACTTCCTCGGCCTTCAGCAGCGACTACGGCGGCCTCTTCTCCAACTCAGCCGCGGCGGCGGGCGTGTCCCCGCAGGAGCCCGGCGGGCAGTCGGCCTTCATCTCCAAAGTGCACAGCTCGGCGGCCGAGAGCCTCTACCCGCGGGTGGGCATGGCGCACCCCTACGAGTCCTGGTACAAGTCGGGCTTCCACTCCACGCTCTCGGCGGGCGAGTGGCCAACGGGGCGGCCTCCTCCTGGTGGGATGTGCACACCAACCCAGGCTCCTGGCTGGAGGTGCAGAACCCGGCGGGGGGGCTGCAGAGCTCGCTGCACTCGGGCGCCCCCCAGGCCTCGCTGCACTCCCAACTGGGCACCTACAACCCCGACTTCAGCTCCCTCACCCACTCCGCCTTCAGCTCCACCGGCCTGGGCTCCACGGCCGCCTCGCACCTGCTCTCCACAGCCAGCACACTTGCTCACCCAGGAGGGCTTCAAGCCCGTGCTGCCCTCCTACACGGACTCCAGCGCGGCGGTGGCGGCAGCCAGCGCCATGATCTCGGGCGCCGCCGCCGCCGCGCCGGGGGCGGCTCGGCCCGCTCCGCCCGCCGCTACTCGGGCCGCGCCACCTGCCGACTGCCCCAACTGCCAGGTCGGCCGCGGGCAGCGCCCCGGAGGCGGAGCCGGGCAAGAAGAAACAGCACATCTGCCACATCCCCGGCTGCGGAAAGGTGTACGGCAAGACCTCGCACCTGAAGGCGCACCTGCGCTGGCACACGGGCGAGCGGCCCTTCGTCTGCAACTGGCTCTTCTGCGGGAAGCGATTCACCCGCTCCGACGAGCTGCAGCGGCACCTGCGGACTCACACGGGCGAGAAGCGCTTTGCCTGCCCCGTCTGCAACAAGCGCTTCATGCGCAGCGACCACCTGAGCAAACACATTAAAACGCACAACGGGGGCGGCGGGGGCAAAAAGGGCAGCGACAGCGACACGGACGCCAGCAACCTGGAGACGCCGCGCTCCGAGTCCCCCGACCTCATCCTGCACGAGGGGGTGGGCGCCGCCGCCCGCGGACCGGGCAAGGAACCTACCGCGGGGCCCGGCGACTCTTTAGGGCAGAGCCGCCGGAGCCGCCCGGACTGAGCCCCGCGCCGGCCGGAAAGGACACGACCGCCCCGCCGCCGACAGCGCCCCCGGCCCGCAGCGGCAGGGCCGGGCCGGGCCGGGCGCGGCGGACGGCGGTGCCGGAGAGACGCGGCCCCCGTCCCGCCCGGCCAGTAGGTACCGAGTGACACTTTCTTCCGCTTCCCTTTTCTCTTTCTATTGGAAGGCAAGCGTCCTAAGAGAGGCTTAAGGTGAGAAATCCAGCTGCAACTCCGAGACGATCCCTCTGTATCTCATAAACATCTGTATAAATAGGGTTCAAAAAAGAAGAAAAAAAAAAAAAGAAAACCAGATCGTGTTCCCTTATTTTTCTTGTAAATGTTGATCTGATAAGGGGTTTGGGGGATTTTTTTTTAATTGGTGAATTCCTGAAATTCAGGGAGGTTTTGGGGCTTTGATTTTTTTTTTAATTTTAAATTTCTGATGCACTTTGTGGAAGTCAGTATATATGTAAAAGATATTTAAAATGTTGAGTTAACACTTCACTCAAACACACGTAAGTTAAGGTCTCTTAAAGAAATTAAATGCGTTTATCTGTATGGAAAAAATCTTGACATATTTTCATTTTGGTATTATTAAAGGACTCTGAACAATATACTCACGGGTTTGTTCTTCTTCGTGCCCCCTCCTTTCCCCCGCCCAGTCCTTGCAGGGGTCAGGTTTTTAGTGGGAGCCCTCGCACCCCCTTCCCATCCTCTTTACAGTCACTGTGATTAAAAATGCAGCCAGCAATGATAGCCGGGAGGGGAAGGGACCGGCCCCCGAGCCAGGCGCGCCGAACCTCTCTGCTCGCTCTTTTCAAACCTCCTTAGGTTTAGTTCCTTAAGAAAAACAACAACAACAACAAAAAACCCAAACCCAAACAAATTTAAACGGAGTCCGAGCCCCGCTACACCAGCCAGGAACCACGCCAAAACCTAAGTGTCTTTGGCTAAACCATCCCCAAAATCGAGTGACGGCGAACTGTACTGAGGAACTATTTATTTAATTTAAAAAACCTTTAGCGCCACAAGGCTGCCTAGGCTGGGAGGTGATCTCGGGGGAATAAATCGCCAGAGTCAATACTCCGGAAAAGACATTTCATGCCTAAATGAAAATCTTGTTAAATGTTATTAATTTTGACTTAGAGCACACAGCAGCCCCCTGTGCCTTGTATTCCCTTATTAGGGATTCATGTCTTATCAAATATCTAATTAATCTCCTAGACATCATTTGTTCTGGCCAACTTTATCTCAGCTGGTCCACGGGGAAAACTCCGAATATTCTCGGTGACAAAGCTCCCTTGAAGATCCTTTTAATTGTCCAAATTAACTGCACCAAATTTGCATGTCAAACGGTAAAGGGCAACCTAAGATAAAATGTAAACGTTTTAAAAGCCCCAAACTAAGCACTTGATTTGATAACTAGGCTTTTTAATGTTATGGAAGACAACTGCTCCTTTCCTTTTCAAAGACAGTTGATCTATGCAAATAGTGAATTGGAAATGCTTATGTCCCCATGCAGTCAAATGGTCCTTGCATGTTATTTGAATATCAGTGGCTCTGCTATTGAAAAGGTTCAAGGATGCTCTCTGACTTCTTTGTGATTACTCAGTGCAGCGTCTTATTCTGAAGAAAAAAAACTCAGGAATAATTAAAGGCTGGGCTAAGGCCTGGGAACACATTTGGGACAGGAATCTCATTTAGACAGGCTCTTTCAAAATAAGGCACAGTTAAATTGACCAGAAGGCAATTATTGAAATGAAAATTATTTTCCCTCCCTTTGTCTCCTGACCACCAACCTAACAGTCACAGTATTTTTTTTAAAAGGCAAATTGTTAAATGAGATAATTGTGTTATTAAAAAAAAAAAAAAAGAGGAGGGGGGAGGGAAAAAAGTTAATTTACTCTGCCCAGTACAGATTGGATGAATACAAATATTTTAATCCTCCATAAAACAGGGAATGCAAATAACATCGGGAAACGGATTCTGCTGTCGGCCACCAACTGGAATAAAGACGTTGCGTTAAAGAAAATACATCTGCCGTGAATACTAATAACCGCGTCCCACCTCCTCCGCGCCACTGTTGCACAAAAGCGGCCGGGCAGCGCCGACACCGCCTGTGCCCCAGGGCGGCGGCGGGAGCCCGGCGGTCCGTTCCGCGGGCCGAGGGAAGGGAGCCACCCGGGAGAGGCACCTCGCATCCCCGCTGCCGACCGCACCTTCCCCGAGAGCCGCTCCGGAATCTTCCCGGCCAAAAGCATCCCGGCAAGGTGCCTCTCCTCCCGGCCCGGGGGGGGGCAGGTTCCCGGCGGGCAGGGGAGGGGAAGTGGGCGCGGGGGACGCGCTTCAGGGCGCGGTAACACACAGAGCGGGCCGGGCGGCGGGACCCGGCTCTCCTCCCTGCCGGGCGGCCCGGGGGCTGCGCAGGAATGCACCCGCGCGGGGTGTTGGGCAGAAGTAAGCTTTGTTTTCGATTTATAATAAAACACATCAAAGGACACCATCCAGGTCCAGTTTCTGCCAGGCCGGGGTTACAATTCTCAGCTCAGTGATCAAGGACCTCTTTGCATTGCCTTTGCCCCTTCGGGTCAGAAAACGTCCATCACTTACAGACTCCCCAGAAACGAGGAAGGGAGAAGCTCTGGGCCGCAGAACCGGTTCGTTTAACCAGGAAAATAGAAAGCATGTCACCTTTTTAAAAATAAATGACACCATTCTTTCTTAAGTGTTGGCGATAATTATATGGTCTGGGGAACTTCTACACAAAAAAACCCTGAAGAACAAACGGTGTGAGAACCGAAAAACAAATCTGATTTCAGTCTTTGAACCCGTAGTTCAGCAACACCTCTTTAGTGAGAGGACACTAACCCGAGAGCGGGAGAGCACCGGGAACGGGAGGGATGTCCTCTCGGGCTCCAGCGGGAAGGGGGCACAGGGGAAGCCGGGCTCCCCGCCGCCTTGGCCCCGCTCGCCCGTGAGCTGTGCCTACCTCCCATTTACATCCCGCTTCAGGAGGGAATGCTGTCCATTCCCATACCTCGTGGACAGCACCTTCACCCCTGCTCCGCGAGCCCGTTAAAACACGGCCAACAACGGGCCAGCGACAGCAACCACCACCGCCGGGAGAAGGTAAAATGCCAGGAAAAATTATCTAGTAAATGCCATTCGATCGCCGGGTCCCCCGTTCGCAGGAAGCGTGTCCCTTGCCCCCCGCGGCGAGTTACAGCCCCAACGGCTCGTTTTACACTTTAAAGGTAACATTAATGTTTTTGTTCTAATGCGATAATATATAAACACCCGATCCCGTGCCTGGACAGCTTCTTAATTGCGTCTTTCAATTCAAATGGAAACTTTATCTGCGGGAGCTGTAATTTACTTGCAGCCATTATCTGTTCGCCAAGATCCTCTCCCACCCTTCCAAAATGCAGATGAAGGGAAGCTAACAGACAGCCCGCCCCTTTGGGTAATTGGTGCGCTAAGTGTTTATTTTAAGTGAGAATAATTTAGCTACAAATTTCCTCAAGGAATAACATCCTCCACACACTAAAAAGCAGACCAGGAGGCACAATCCGGAGCCCGC